TGATATTCCTGTAAATGTGAGGAAAGGCAACACTCCGTTTTGGGATTTTTGTTATTAAACTGCCTGGGTGGGCCCAGGACCATCTCTAAAGTGGAGGGCAAGCATGCATGGTAACTGCTATTCTGTGTCTCTGTCATATCTATCAAAATGAGTCTCAGCGCCCCCACCATGGACTACTGGGGGGACTACTGGACTACTGGAATCTCTCATCAGTCTCCCAAAATGAGTCCAAAGAGGCCCTTTTAAAATTGCAAATGAAGCCGGGCGCACGCCTTTAATCCCAGAATTTGGGAGGCAGAGGCAGGCGTATCTCGAAGCCAGCCTGGTCTACATAGCGAGTTCCAGGACAGCTGGGGCTTCTGGGAGAACCTGTCTCAAAAGGACACACACACACACACACACACACACACACACACATACAAATCAGGGCTGGAGATGTGGCTCCGCTTGGTGCTCTTGCAGAGGACCTGGGTTTGGTTCCCAGCATCCACATTGGGTCGCTAACAACTGCCTATAACTCCAACTCTGGAGGATCTGAGGCCATCTTCTGTCTCCAAGGGTGTGTACACGCAGACACACTCAGAGAGAAATAAACATAAAACTTAAACATAAAAATGCAAATCAGATGACTCCCTCTTTAAATGGTTAAGAGCACGCACATCGAGCTGGGAGATGGCTCATTGAGTAAAGGTGCTTACAGACAAGACTGATGTGATGATCTGAGTTTGCTCCCCAGAACCCACATGGTAGAAGGACAGAACTGACTCCTGAAAGCTGTCCTCTGACCTCCATACTTGTGCTGTGGCACATGAGCCCATGTGCATACAACCACCACACCCACCCACAAAATGAATAAATGTTAGAAAAAAACAACCAACTATGAGCACCACCCTCCCTCAACCTTGGCCTCACCACTTCCTAGTCAGGCAAATGTGGCACATTATTTAGTAGCTGTGTGTCTCAAGGTTTCCTCACAGGGCTGCTTGTGGGGATGTAATGAGGTAGTCAACGCAGTGTTTCGAGCAATGCTGGCAGAAAACAAGTGAAACACACAGGCTAGCTCTCGCCACTGTTTCGCTGACAGTACCGGACTCTGTGGATGGCCACTACCTACCTCTCCCACATTGCTTGGAGCCAGCTTTTCTGACTGCCCTGTTCAGCCCACACAGACCTTCTGGGGTGCTCCTCTTCCTTGCTCTACACTCACTGTACTTTCTGCTGCTTTGAATGGTCCACTTCTGGCTCTTATATTCCTGTCCTTCCAGCATCCAGTCTCAGTGTGATTACCTTCCTGTACTTAGTTATTATTTTCTTTATTTGTGTGTACATGTTGAGTGTGGGCATGTCACAGCACTAGTGTGAAGGTCAGAAGACAACCTGCAGAGCTGGTTCTCTTCTTCCACCATGTGGGTCCTGGGAAATTGAACTCAGGTGGTCAGACTTGGCGACAAATACCTTTATCCTCTGAGCCATATTGCTGACCCCAGGTCACCCTTTCTTGTAGGTTTTTCCCTGCTGTTCTTGCCATAATGTTGGGCATAATCTCAATATTTCTCTTAATTTTGAATTAGATACATATGTTTTGAGACCTCCAAAGCCTGACTGAAGTCCCATGCTTGCTCCTTAAGAGCAGCAAAGATGGTCATTTTGTCATTATTGCAAACCTAGGGCCTAGAACAGGGCCAGCATATCTATGTATTTGAAAGGAAGATACACATCTTTCAGTATGCTCACCCCACTGCACTCCTCATTGTGATTCCTTGAAATGAAGCAAATTCAGAAACAATCAAAATGCAGCCTTAAGATTTGGCATACAGAGGGGTGTATGTGTGGGGCTCTACTCTGAGGATGATCTGTGTGTGTGTGTGTATTCCTGGGGGCTGTGCAAAACAGAAAAGGCTGTAGAGTGTAAGTGAGGGGACACTGCAGAGGAATCCCACAAATTTTACAATGTTTACACCATGCTTTGCTGAGGTAAGTGATTTTCAAAGTGTCTCCCCTTGCACAGCCACTCGGTTTCTGGAGTACTTTCTTCACTGTGATTTGTAAGGTATGATATTTAAGTTCCTGGACAATGTCTGGTTTTGTATGTCTATTCTTCCTGTGGTGATCTGACTTCTGATAATATTTGAGATGAGGACAGAAGCGAGGCACAAAAAAGTATGTATTGTCTCCCTGTGTGCTGTGAAAGTCAGGCATCAAACAATCCAGGGCACAGTTTAATTCAGGCCTAATTCCTCTAACTGGCTTCTCACAGTGACATAGATACTGGTCAGTTTTCCCTCTGCATCATCCCTGCACACTCCCAGGAAGATCCCAGTGACACACCCACTGTGGGGACCCCACAGCCCAAGGTGTCTCCTTAGGGACTTGGCAGAGCTTGCACTGTATATGGTCTGAAAAGGCATTCCAGGCATGCCCTGAGAGGGAGCGTCTCCCCAGGGCTTTGGGAACAAAAGCCCCACAGAGTTTCTGGTCAACAACTGCTGTAGCTAATTTTATTTCCATCAGACCAGGCCCAAGGCAGGATGCCAGAGAGACTGTGAGAAAGAATATTTTTGTTTTTCCTTAGGCAGTTTGTCACAAACCAAAACTTGAAGTGACTCTGCAGAGGGGAGAGGGATAAGGAGAGAGGGAGAGAGGAAAACAGTACAAAGTACAAATCAAATCTCCAAATAGATGATTCCTACCAGAAGGATGAAACTGCACACATGACACGTGTCAGGAAAGAAGACACGCCAGGAAATGAATTCCCCTGCAGTTTGGATGCTCGGCGTCCCCTTATCCACACAGCCTCATTAAAGTCTCACAATGATAAAGAGTCCTTTTCATTCTCCTTAAACTCAGATTCAAGTCAGCTCAATCACTTTCCCAAGTCACAGAGCTAATTATAAATAGAAGTGAAATTTAAATCCTAGTCTATCAGATTCTAATGCCTACTTTCTTCTCATTAAACCTTGTTATTTCCATATAAAACCCAGTCAGAGAAGTTTCTCATAACCAAGAAATACTAAGGAATATTTATTGAGCACATGCTGTATGCCAACATCTTTGCAAGGAACTATGTTTTGAGGCACTCCAGTGGGCTTTAATATTGTATCTAATTAAAAGGGCCTACGGGAACATGACTCTTGGCTAGATTAAGTTTCATCCCATCATCTGCTGCATTAGGGAAGGTATTATTAGACTAGTTTAAGAATAGCTGGGCAGGGAGGCTTCATGGTGCAATGGTAGTGTGTCTGACTCCAGATCAGGGGTTGTATGTTCAAATCATGTTGGGGTCATAAGTCACACTTATTTTAGGGCTGGAGAGATGGCTCAGTGCACTGGCTGCTCTTATAGAGGACTGGGGTTCGATTCCCAGCACCTACATGGTGGTCAACAACAACAGTCTGACTGACGGTCAGTATCTCCAGCTACAGGGCATCCAATGCCCTCTTCTGACCTCTGTGGACATTGTACAGCACAGGTGCACTTACACACATGCAGGCAATACAGTCAAATGCATAAAATAAAAATAATAGGGCTGGAGAGATAGCTCAGGGGTTAAGAGCACTGACTGCTCTTGCAGAGGACCCAGGTTCAATTCCCAGTACCTACACAATGCCTAATAGCCATCTATAACTCCAGTTCCAGGGGATCTGACACCTTCTTCTGACCTCCGTGGGCACTACATGACATGGGTGCACTTACATACATACAGGCAATACAATCATACACATAAAATAAAAGTAATAAAATTAAAAAATAAAAATAAGTAATTTTTTTTTTCAAAAGAATAGATGGGCATGATGGTGCATGCATTTAATCCCAGCACTCAGGAGGCAGAGGCAGGCGGATCTCTGTGAGTTCGCAATCAGCCAGGTCAACATATTAAGACCTTGTCTTAAGAGAATAAATAAATACAAATAGCAAGGTATAGATGAGTGTGTATCTTATTTGCTCTTGCATGCTTTCCTCCAGCCTCACTGTGCTTAGGGTGCTAAAGAATCCCAACTTTCAGGGAGACCCCATCTCAAAAAGAAAAAAGCAAAACAAAACAACAAAAAAATCCCAACTTTCACCTTATCTGATGCGTTTTTCTCCAGTTTGCTTACTATCTGTTTTTCATTCCTTTGAACACTAACCGCTCTTAAAGTTATTTTGGGGAAGTCTTTTGTTTTTCTTATATACTGTAACTCACTGAGAGAGGCTAGAAGAAGACAAAAGACAAATAGAAGTGACGATTTCTTTTCTGCACAAATTACAGACAGACCCAGGAATACACTGACTAATTGGGATAATATATTCATGTGATATTAACTATCAGATGCCACTGTAAGCTTCCCAATTGGCTGTTGCACTACGACATTGCTCTTGGAACTTTCCACATCACTCCCATGATGATTTGTCTAGTCCCCATAGTTCCTACTCAACAGCATCATTACACCACAATTCAACACCCACATGGGGTGTCCATTTGCTCTCAAGATGATAAAGCTTTTATTGAAAAAATTTTGCTACATTGAAAAATTTTATTTGTGTATGTTTTCTATATGTGCACATGTGGAGGTCAGAGGACAGCTTGTAGGAGTCAGTTCTTTTCTACCAAGTGGATCTAGGAATCAAATTCAGACCCTGACAACTTGGCTGCAAGTGCCTTTACATGCTGAGCCATTTCACTAGCCAAAACTTTGAAATTAAAGCTATAAACTTGTGCAATGACTGGAATATATTTGCTTAAGACATTTGAGTGGTGGCTCATGCCTTTAATCCCAGCACTTGGGAGGCAGAAGCAGGCGGATCTCTGTGAGTTTGAGGCCAACCTGGTCTACCTAGTGAGTTCCAGGCCAACAGCTGGGACTACAGGGAGACCCTGTCTCAAAAAGACCAAAAAAAAAAAAAAGAAAAAAGACATTTGAGTCCTTATAGACACAGAACTTGAAAAGCAAAAATATTTTCACCAATTTTGACACAAGTCCAAAGTATTTATATATAAATATATTGCTAATATAACTTACCTTTTGGTGTCTCCCAGCATACAAAAGAGTCTATTAAAGACAAGCCTTGCTTATAATAAAATGTAGTTAACTCCAGCCAGTTGGCATCAAGTGTGCTGATGACAGCTCCCTTCCTTGTCACTTTCATGGACAGGATGCCTTCCTGATAGGTCCAGCAGGCCGAATCATCTCCAAAAGCATTGAAAACCATGTATAATCTATTATCTGGGGATACACATTCAAGAAAAGGAGGGGGGATCATAATTTTACTGATCCAACATTTTATTAGTCATGCGACATTTCAAGTATATAAACAAATGCAGAAAAGAATAAAAGCACCCACCGTTCAGTTTAGAAAAGATGTGTGTATATATGTGTGTACATGTTTGTGTGTGTGCCTGTGTGTGTTTGGGTACATGTGCATGTACGTGTGCATGCAGGTGGAAGCAAGGGGTTGACGTTGGGTGTCTTTCTCTGTCCCTCTCCACCTTATTTTTTGAGACAGCATCTCTCACTGAACCTGGAGCTCATGATCTGTCTATTCTGACTCTGCCTCCCCAGCACTGGGATTACAGGCATGTGCCACTATACCTGGCTTGTATTTGGATGCTAAGGATCCAGCTCAGGAGCTCACGCTTGTATGACAACTGCTTTCCTGACTAAGCCACCTCCCCAGTCTCCTGTGCCCCAACTCAGTTTAATCAAATGGTAGCATTTTGCTGTATTAACTTTAGATTATTTTTTTCCTAGAAATGAGACATGGGCACAATCGAGGCAAGTGTGTAGCTCAGATGAGGACATCAGATTCCCCTGAACTGGAGTTATGAACAGTTGTTAGCTGCCATGTGAGTGTTGGGAACTGAACCTGGGTCCTCTGCAACAGTAGGCAATGTTTGTAATTGCTAAGCCATCTCCCCAGTCTCGGTATTTATTTATTTATTTATTTATTTATTTATTTATTGCCTTTTTGAGACAGGGTCTCCCTGTAGCCCCAGCTGTACTGGAACTCACTATGTAGACCAGGCTGGCTCACAGAGATCCATCTGCCTCTGCCTCCCAAGTGCTGGGACTACAGGTGTGCGCCACCATACCCAGCTATCTGTTTTTATTTTTTAAAACTATATTTTATTTATTATTTTTATTTTATGTGTGTTAGTGCATTGCCTACATGTATGTAAATGCACCAGTGTTGTGCTGCCCCAGGAGACCAGAAGAAGATGTTGGATCCCCTCCAACTGGAGTTAGCTGCCATGTGAGTGCTGGGAATCAAACTCAGGTCCTCTCCAATGGCAGCCGGTGCTCTTAACCACTGAATCATCTCTCCAGCCCACAAACTTTTAAAAAATATACAGTTATATGCTCATATATGAAAAAATGTTTTGCAGTCTAAAAATTTCTTTAGTAGTATATTGTTTCATATTAATCTATTAATTAATTTTTTATGGTGTTTGGGTTAAGCCCAAGGCCACGTACATGCTAGGTAAGTGCTGCATCACTAAGCAACCCCTCCAGTTCTCTAAATTGATATTGTTCAACATTATGCCTTTGAAAGGTGAATAGGTATGTAGATTTTATTCACTTAGTTTTTCAGTTATTTATTCTCTTTTTGATAGGCATACATATTTTCTATTTGTTTTTTTCTGGAAAGGGGCTTGGGCAGTGTCTATATAGCGTAGGCTGGCCTTGGATTCAACAGTCTTCCTGTTTTATCCTGAATGTTGGGATTATAGGAGTGTGCCACAGTGCCCAGCCAAATTTAAAAAAAAAACATTATTTATTTATGTTAATTTTGTGTGTGCATGTAAAAATGTGTATGTGTTTATGTGTGCACATACACAGTATGTACATGGAGGTCAGAGGACAACCTTCAGGAGTCAGTTCTCTCCTTCTACTCTGTGGGTCCTGAGCATTGAACTCAGGTAGTCAGGTTTGGTGGCGGGCATCTTTATCTGCTGAGCCATCTTGCTGGCTTCCAAGTTATTTAAAACATATTTTTTTAAAAATTTTATGTGTATGAATGTTTTGCCTGCATGTATGTAAGTGCATTCGTGTTGTGCAATGCCTGTGGAGGCCAGAGTGGGTATCTGATCCCCTGGAAATGAAGTTATGGATGGTTGTTACCCACTATGTGGGTGCTGGGAATCCAACCTGGGTTCTCTGCAAGAGCAGCCAGTACTCTTAACTACTGAGCCATCTCTTCAGCCCCACAGGTCATTTTTAAAAACAAACTTCAGCTGGGCATGGTGGCTCACACCTTTAATCCCAGCACTCAGGAGGTGGAGGCAGGTGGATCTCTGTGAGTTTAAGGCCAGCCTGGTCTACATAGTGAGTTCCAGGCTAGCTGGGGCTACAGGGAGACCATCTCAAAAAGACTAAAACAACAACAACAACAACAACAAAACAAATTTCAATTTTTGTTCTCTTGGACAAAAAGTCTGTGTGAATGACTCCAATACACAGTTAGACTTGGAAGTTCTGGGTCTTAGCTCAACTGTGAGCCTTGGTACCCACAACTATGGCTGTGTTTTCTGAAGTATGATCTCATATTACCAAATACTTCAAGAGGTCTTTTCTGTACTCCCATAATTCCTTTCTCTACCCTCCCCAATTAAGGGATACTGCTTTAGAAAAGTAATTAAGAAATGTAAAATTTTAAAGTATTTAGAAATCAAGATCTAAAGACAGATAATTTAAATGGTAAATTGGATTGAGAACTTCACGGACTGGAGAGTTTCATTGGCTCAAACTTGGGCTGGAATCAGTGTGGTGAGTAAAGGGAACTGTAAGTTGAAGATTAAGTCCTCTGGGTCCAGCTCCAGGACTCTTTAAAAAAAAATCTGAATTTGCAGAATATCATGGCACATGCCTTTAATTCCAGCACTCAGGAGGCAGGGGCAGGCAGATCTTTGTGAGATTGAGGCCAGCCTAGTCTATATAGTGTGTTGTAGGCTAGCTAGAGTGAGACCCTGTCTCACCCCCCCCAAATTTTAATTACATTGTTTATTTACTTAATTTGTGTGTGTGTGTGTGTGTGTGTGTGTGTGTGTGTTTGCAGCATGGCATATGTATGGAAGTCAGAGGACAACTTGGTAGCATCAGTTCCCTCCTTCCACCATGTGAGTCCTGGGGACTGAACTCAGGTCATCTGGCATGGCAGCAGCCTTCAACCACTGAACCATCTCACTGGCCTTTGCCTTTAACATTCCTATAATTTCATATTGCAGGAGGGTCAGGGAGGTTGTTCGAAGTGAAAAGGGAGTGTGGTAGGGGCGCTGGGGAGAGGATGAACTGGGAAACACTTCTGGGGTCTTTCTTCAGAAGATCCTCCTCCTGTGGTCAGATGGATCTCTGCCGTGCACAGGACACGGAGCACATCCCATCAGAATGCAGAAAGCCCTGACTCCGTTGTCTTCTCCAGTACCAGCATGATCAAAGGCTCAGTTAATAGCTCTTAACTTACTGGAGCTTATTTTGTGCCAGGCACTGGGCTAAGCACTTTCCAGACACCTCTTCTTTATTTTTTTATGACCCTGTGAGAGAGGCTCTACCCTGCCCCCTTTTATAAAGAAATCGAGGCATTTGTCTCCAGGGCCCATGTTAACTCCACTGTTTACAGAGTCTTTGATTTCTTTTGATACTGTTCTTTAAAAAATGCCCACAAAGGTGTCAGAAAACTTTTTTTTTTTTGGTCTTTTTGAGACAGGGTCTCCTTGTAGCCCCAGCTGTCCTGGAACTCACTACGTAGACCAGGCTGGCCTTGAACTCACAGAGATCCACCAGCCTCTGCCTCCCAAGTGCTGGGATTAAAGGTGTACGCCACCACGCCTGGCTCAGAAAACTTTAAATAGTCAAAAATAAATGAGTAAAATGCTCTCAAGTTCTTGGGAAAACTTGTGAGTTGGCAGAAAAGCACAAAACTATTGTTTAAAGTTATTCTTGGTGGCAAGCACTACTGTTAAAATAATTGATTCATCATGATGTGCCATTTTCATATTCTAGCTGATGATCAAAGAAAGTCAATTAATTTCAAAGGTGAAAAGCGTTCATAAAATGGGAAAGGCCTGGACTAACATTCTCACACACTGTTTGCCAGACAAATGTCAATCAAAATAGCTTTCTTTGCAGTCCTTCCCTGTAGCACATGTACAGCCTTCAGTTTTCAAGAGGGCTTCCGATGACTGCATGGAAACTACTCATTGCATTATGTGGATGGCTTGCACGACCCAGTAGGGAGAATTTCCACCTGAATGCTACCCTGCCTTATTTCTGGCTATAATAAGTTGAAAAAAAAAAGACATTTATATTTGTTCATTGACTTCATAATCTGCAGAAATTTCCTTTGTTTTATGTTTCTTTCTTCTTTTTTTAAACCTCAAAAACAATATATTTTGTGGAACTTAGGAATATATTTCCCTTCCTCTCACCCTGTCTGTTACCGTCTCCTTGCTTTGGTTTGGAGTTGCTGGGACTGCCATTTCCTTCTGTTTGACACTGTCCACCTTCATGCTGAGGTTCCTCCTCAGTCCCGCTTTCTGACGACTGCCCGCTTACAGCGCCTTCATTCCAGCTTTTGTTGTCATCTGAACTGTGTCTCACAGGCAGTACCAATTCTGCATCTCCATCATGGTTAGTTCCATTACAGTATTTAGAGGAAGGGTAATGCTGTGATATGAATCCAACAAATTTCATTCCTCTTTTAGCAGCAACATTAGCCTGAGATTTAAAAAGAGAGATGGCAGAACAAAAGGTAAACTTGGAGGCTGGAGAGATGGCTTGGTGTTTAAAAGCACTGGTTGCTCCCAGCACCCACATTAGGTGATCACAACCACTTATAGGTCCAGTTCCAGGGAATTCAATGCCCTCTTCTGACCTCTGAGAGCACTTGCACACATGCGGTACACATACCAATAGGCTGGGTGTGGTGGTGCATGCCTTTAATCCCAGAACTCTGGAGGCAGAGGCTGGCAGATCTCTGTGAGTTCAAGGCTAGCCTGGTCCACATAATGAGTTCCAGGACAGCTGGGGCTACAGGAGACCCTGTCTCAAAAAGACCAAAAACATTTTTTTTTAAGTAAAAATCTCCAGAAAAGGTAAACTCCATCTACATTGATTACTTAGTCAACTAACCTTTTATTTCATTGAGAAACTCTATTAAAAGAGGGAATAAATTGACTAGTAACTAAAGACACACCCCTAAACTTGTTGCTGGATAACCTCTTAAGTAGCATTATGCCTGAGTCTGTTTCAGCATCGTCATGCCTTATGAATAGAACTAGCACACTTTAGAAATTATAAAAGCAGGACCATATTTTTCTCTGAAAGACCACATTTGGGAAAAACTAGTAATTTTATAGCATGGTTTTTTTTTATAGCATGATTTTTTTGAGATGATTAACAATGATCTTTCCAGCTGGAGCAAAATTAAAGACTATTCCAGAGCTCTCAATACATCTTCATTATTAAAGAGGACATTAATTTAAAAGCAAAAGCCACACAGCATTGGGGCTAGAGAGATGGTTCACTGGTTAAGAACTCTGGTTGTTCTTGCAGAGGACCCCAGTTTGGTTTCTAGCACCCACATTCCAGCTTTTGTTGTCATGGTTAGCAACAGTCCATAACTCTAGTTCCAGGGGATTCAGGGATTTGATACCAGATATGCACATGGTGCACTTATATAATGCGGGCAAAACACTCTTACACAGCTGGTATGGTGTCACACACCTTTAATTCTAATCCTCAGGAGGCAGAGGAAGGCAGAACTCTGCAAGTTCAAGGTCAGCCTGGTCTACATAGTGAATTCCATGTTAGCTGGGGCTACAGGGAAACCATGTCTCAAAAAGACCAAACCAGCTGGATGTGGTGGCTCACACCTGTAGTCTGAGCACTTGGGAGGCAGAGGGAGGTAGATCTCTGTGAGTTCAAGGCCAGCCAGGTCTACATAGTGAGTTCCAGGACAGCTGGGGCTACAGAGAGACCCTGTTTCAAAAAATAAAAATAAAATAAAATTAAAAAAGACCAAACCAAACCCCAAATACTCATATACATAAAATAAAATAAATAAATCTTTTAAAAAACAAGCAAAACACCCCCTCCCATAGCATTATCTGATGTTGAAGAAGATAAATGTTAAAAGTTGAATTCTTACAAATAAATATAGAACATAAGCCCAATTCATAGCACAACTGTACTGAAGCTTTCTGATCTGCTTATGCTCTTGATGTTATTGCCACTGATCTGGGTCAAATACACATAATTAGATTATATCTTATTACTTAATAAATAGACTCTGAAATAGATGGCATGATGCCAGTGAAATAATGTGAGATCTTAAGAGTAGTTATTTTTATTTTTTTTAATGTGTATGCCTTGTATTGCCTGCATGTAGGCAGTGCACCCGTGTCATGCAATGCCCAAGGAAGATAGAAGAGGTTGTCAGATCCCTTGGAACTAGAGTTATGGACAGTTAGTAGCTGCCATGTGGGTGCTGGGATTCCAGCCCAGGTCTTCTGCAAGAACAACCAGTGTTCTTAATTTCTGAGCCTTCTCTCCAGCCCCTGAGTGGTTATTTTTAGGTTCAGAACTTTTTCCATTGACATAATTATATTATTTTATTTAAATATATACTTCCCAAGACTCAAGGGATTTTTCTTCTGTACTTAAAATTTTTTTTTGAAATATGGGGCTGGAGAGATGGCTCAGCAGTTAAGAGCTCTGATTGTTCTTACAGAGGAAGCAGGTTCAATACCCACATGGTGGCTATGAACTGTCCTTAACTCCAGTTCCAGGGGAATCTGATGCTCTCTTCTGACCTCCATGGCGTTGCATGACATGGTGCACTCCTCACATACATGCAGGCAATACACTCATACACATAAAATAAAAATGATATATAAAATATTTTAAAAAAGAAAAAAATAAAATATTAAAAATTTTTTTGGACTTATTTATTTTTATTTTATGGGTATGATTGTTAAGTGCCATGTGTGCACTGCCTATAGAGGCCAGAAGAGGGTGTCAGATCCCCTGGAACTGGAGTTATGGCTGGTTGTTAGCCACCATGTGGGTACTGGCATTTGAACCTGGGTTCTCTGCAAGAGCAGTACTGCTCTTAACCGCTGAGTCATCTCTCCAGCTCCACTTCTCTTTGCTTTTGTTTCAGTGCCTTTATTCTATTTGGTTTTCTGTTTTTTTTTTTTTAAAATAAAAAATATTATTTTTATTCATGTGTATGAGTGTATTGCCTGCATGTATGTAAATACACTTATGTCATGCAATGCCTGTGGAGGTCAGAAGACAGCATTGAATCCCCTGGGACTGGAGTTACAGATGGTTGTTGGCTGTCATGTGGGTGCTGGTGACTGAACCCAGGTCCTTTGCCATACCAGTCAGTGCTCTTAACTGCTGAGCTATCTCCCCAGCCCCTTTATTCTATTTGTACCAGTATTTTTCTCCTTTGTTCAGCTAGCAATCCCTATTGAGGGCATGGACTGAGTTTTATTAGTCCTTGCATTTCAGCTTTTTAAATATTCGTTAAATAAATTAAAATGAAGATATAGCATTTTGAGACAGGGTCTTCTTGGAGTCCCAGTTGGCTGGAACTTGCTATTTGGACAAGGCTGGCCTCTATCTCACAGAGATCCACCTCCTCTGCCTCTGAATGCTGGGGTTAAAGGTGTGCTCACCACACCTGGCAGCTGTCTTTTTTATGGTCACTGTTTTTAAGCATTTAAATTAAACGTTTTAAGTGTTACCTGGGAAAGTGTTCCCTGGGAGATAGAAACACTGACAGAATAAAGTAGGATAAAAAGACCAAGAAGAACCAGAACAAAATAAAAAGCAAGGTCCAGTCAAAGGAAGCTAGTATAAGTCAACTCCAGCCAAAGGGAAGCAGAATTCTGTGGAAGGAGAGACTGCGTGTTTGGAGCAGAACTAAGGAAATTGGCTGGCACAGCAGCATTCACTCCTATGAGTTACCACATTGAAATTTAAGACTGCATGAAGACTTAAGCATATTTTCCCCTTTTCAGGTGTCGTGGAGAGAAGAGGGAGGTGTAAAGGGGGTCATCTGTTGTCAATGTCCCCTCTAGGTATTATTCATTGATTTGAATGGAGAAATGTAGGAAGGCTTTCTCTTACTATGATAGAATACTTTATCTAGAAAAGTCTGGTAACAAATACCATATTGATGTCTTTTCCTGTAAGTTGGAGGATTGATTTTTTAAAAAAATTACACTTATTTATTATTTATTTATGTGTGTGACTGGGCCATGGTGTGGTGCACATGTGAAGGTCAGAGGACAACTTGTGGGAGTCTGTTCTCCCTCTTTCCACTGTGTGGATCCCAGGATATTTCAGGCATCGGCTTTACCCACTAAGCCATCTCACCAGCCTTGGGTGACTGGTATTTTTCAATGCTGTGCTTTAAAATCCTGAGAGAAGATGCAAACTTGATTTAAGAAATTAAATGGATAGTACTGGGGATGTAGATATGTAGTAGAGGCAGATAAACAGATAAAGTAGAGTGCTTGCAGCCATGTCTGGGGGCGGTAGAGGGGGCTGTGTTTAATCCTCAGTATCACAAAACAAGCAAACAAACAAAAACCAGAGTGGACATTAATATGATGCTAAAACTCAACTCAAAAATTAGCCACAGTGCAGCCATTCAAAACAGTGTTTGGCGTTCACTTGCTGCTCTTGTTCATCCCCAAGACAATGTTCAGATAGTTCATGTGCTGTTTCCTGAAGCTTTTCACTTGGAGAAATAATCCCATTACTCTAATTGCTGAAACAACAATACTTTCCTGTTTAAGCTGGTCTTTAACTGTGTCCAGGAAGTCAAATTCAAAACAAAGGCTCTGATGGTGATCTATTAAGATTGAATTAGTAGCTGCACAGTTCTGTTTTTAAAAAAAGCTGTCTGGAGTGGATTTATTCCCAGAAAAAGCAGTTTCCCAGAATAGTAGCAGTAAACAGTATATGTACTTTGTTTATAAAATCTAACCTCATGGAGTTTTCCTATAAGCCCTGTTGAATGGTAACTTTGTATCTAAATGGGAAACATCATTAGCAGCTGTTAGTGGCTAAACACAAACCACTGAGGATTGTACACAAGTGGTTATTTAAAAGTTTGAAATCAAAACAGAAGCAAATTTCACAATTTCTTTTTCTCTTTGTCTTTTTCCCTTCTGTAGACCAGGCTGGTTTTGAACTCAGGATCTTCCTGCCTCATCCTCCTATATACTGGGACTGTAGGAGTGAGCCACCACACCGGCTCTAGTCTCACTTTTTTTTATCTGAAAGGAAATGCCTGGTGTTCTTGACTCTATACTTAAATACAAACTAAAAACTTATGTCATTGTTGGGGGGGCACCCACTCTTCTGTAAATAAACCCCCACCCTATGCTCAGTTAGCAAGCCCAATAAACTCATTAGGATTTTAAAAAATAGACTTCCCACAAATTTGTGACTTATAAATTACATTTATTATTGCCCACAGGAAATTTTATGCTTAATGTATGTGATAAATTATGTACAGCAATAAATGTCTTTTACGTAAAAAGAACTTCTGCCATTATGACTTAAAAACGATGTTCACCAAAAGTTCCACTGATTTAGAATATTTGTGAATATATACTTTCTCACTGGTTTTGTCAGTCTACATTTAGTGCTTAACTTTCTATTCATGCAGCTTCCAAAGGATGCATAGACTGAAAATTTCCTTCTGATTCTTTCCCAAGTGATTCTTTTTGAAAAATATTTTATTTATTATTTTATTTTATGTGTATGAGTGTTTTGCCTGCATGTATGTAAGTGCAATGCCCATGGAAGCCGGAAGAGGACAACAGATCACCTGGAAATGGAGTTAGGGATGGTTGTTAGCTGCTATGAGCTGGGCATTGAACCCAGGTCCTCTGCAAGAGCAGCCAGTGTTCTTAACCCCTGAGCCATTTCTCCAGGCCTTAAAGTTAGGTTTTCTTAAAAACAACAACAACAACAACAACAACAACAACAACATGTTTTACATGGAAACTCCTCCATTCATAATTAAATATGTTGACTTCTTTGTTTTCTTTTGGATTTCTTTTTTTTTTTGTATTTCAAAAAATGACCTCTTTATCTCATCTAAAATTTTTGGAATCTATGTTTGGTGAAAGCTTTTAGTATTACAGTTATTCCTACATTTTACATCACCAGATTTGTTATTAAACTCTTAGGCAATTACATTCTCTTCTGTTTTCTTCATTCTGCTTCATTGTCTTTATTATGTTTTTGTGATGGTTAATCTTGGTTGTCAACTTCATTGGATCTGAAATCAGCTAACAGGAAAGGTGTCATGCACATCTGTGAGGGATGTTCTTGAAGAATTTCAATGAAGTGGGAAGACCCATCCAAAATGTAGGCCGCACCTTCCGGGACAGCCAAGATAAAAGGCAGTCTGAGAAAGAAGGACTTTGTCTTTGCCTGTGTGCCTCAGTGCTGTGCTGGCGAGTTCATCTGCCTGTTGGCATCTTGCTGCTCCTGCTGCCACTGATGCTGCTGTTCTTCTCTACATCGGGGCCCAGCTTCCCATGTGGGTTAGAGACCAGGGCTCTCCAGGAATCTTCCAGGCCTTCAATGCTGGACTGCTGAGGCATCTGGCTTCATGGATTGAGCTGGCCCTGGGTTCTTGGCCTCTCCAGTGTGAAGGCAGCCATTGCTGAATGACTTAGACTGTATCATAGTTGAATAAATCCCCCTTTTAATATATTCATTCTATTGGTTCTGTTTCTCTAGAGAATCCTGTTACTATGGCTTTAAACTCTAGATAGCTTGGTACAAGACCCTTAATACATTCTGAGTTCTGGTAGAATAAGTCATCTATCTTTTCCCTACTCTTTCTTTCTCTTTTTTCTTAAGACGCTGTAGCTCAGGCTGCCTGGATCTCACTATGTAGTTCAGGCTAGTTTTGAACTCACCATATAGCTGAGGATAACCTGTACCCTTGATCTTCCTGCCTCTACTTGCAAAGTGCCAGGATAAGAGACAGGCTTGTGCTACCCCACCTGGGTTTCCTATGTTTTCAGAGTAAGAATGGATAAACATCAAATGTTGCTCAATATGTCATGAGGAAATGCAGACAGTATCTGTGCTGGTTAGTTTTTGTCAACTTGACACAAACTAGTCATGGGAAAAAGGAACCTAAGTTGAAGGGTTTCCTCCATCAGACTGGCCTGTGGGCATGTCTGTGGGGCATTTTTCTTGGTTGCTAATTGATGAGGGAGGGTCCGGCCCACTGAGGGCAGTGCCATCTCTAGTCAAGTGGGTCCGGGGTATATAAGACAGGCACCTGAAGGAGAATCTTGGGAGCAAGCCAGCAATTGGGGTTCCTCATGGTCTCCGCTTTCTGTTCCTGCTTGAGCTCCTGCCCTGACTTCCTTCACTGATAGATTTTGACCTGGTAGTATAAGCCAAAAAACCCTTTCCTCCCCAAGTTACTTTTGGTCATGGTGTTTATCAGAGCAACCAGAAAGGAACTAAAACAGTACCTTTTCTATGAGTTCTTTAGCTGCGTCATTTGCTTGTGTCTCATAAGTTAGTGGACACTCCTCAATCACAAGTCTTGGGCGCCTTTGACCACTGGGTGCTGCTGAATGCTTAGGGCTGCCACAGAGAAGATGTTCATGGTCAGAGGTCAACTACTGATTTTCGGTTGTGTCCATGTGCAAACAATGAACAACCCACAAATAAGGTCAAGGCACTAACTTTGTTATTTCAAACATGATGACTATATTTTCAAATAAAAATACCACAAACACACAGTAACTTCTATTAACTTCAGATTCCTTAAACTGCCATCGATTTAAGTCCTAATTTATAGTGAATGAAAGCTTTTAGCCTTGTCAGACCACTTCTAATCTAAGTAATGCTAAAAACAGAAAAAGAAGTTTATACACAGTTGATGGATTTTATAACTAGGTCACAAGTGTTACTACTGTAAAAATGTTATGTTTGGGGGCTGGAGAGAGGGTTCAATGGTTAAGAACACTTGCTATTCTTCCAGAGGACCCAGGTTCGATACCCAGTACCCACATGGTGACTAATAACCATCCTTAATTCCAGTTCCAGGGGATCTGACACCCTCTTCTGGCCTCTGCAGGGCATTGCATGCACATGGTGCACTTACATACATGCAGGCAAAACATTCATATACATAAAATAATAAAAATATGTCATGTTTGCTTAGTAATGCTTGTAAATATCTGTGTTGTAGTAAAAGCTGAAGTCCATATACACTCTGTTGTTAGATATGTATATGTAGATAATTATTCCTGAGTACCAATTACTGCCCCTTAAAAACACAACTGGGGATTTGGGGATAGGACTCAGGGTATACCACTTGCCTAGCATATGCAAAGTCTGACTGGCCTGAAACTGAGAGAGATCTCCCTGCCTCTGTCTGCCTAGTGCTGGAATTAGTGCACCACTATGACTAACCACTATGACCTTTCTTAAGCACCAGACTTACCTTAATTTCAAGCGTGACAGCACCACTCTGTAGAGATAAGTTGCTGGTAGATGTTTTCGCTGCCCTACAGGTTGTATTATAGGATGAATGGCCCCAACAATATATCCTTTAAGATAATAGTCTTCCACTTTTGTAATTATATCCAGAACTGAATTTATCTTGATGACTTCTGGGTTTGTTGAAGCTGAAATACCAAAAGTAAAGAGAAATTTGCATATTCATAAGATTTACCTTATTTTAACTTTACCTTATTTCTATCTATATGTGATAATTTTAATGAATATGGAAAAAGAAGCCTATGGCTTAATCTCAGATAAGATATACTAACATGTATTATATATTATATATTTTATATTAATTAATATCAGAAAATATTGT